AATCAATTTAGGGCTTGACCAGCTAAGGTTCTCAGCGGAGTCACCAAGCTGTTGTAACCGGTTTTCGCCTGGGCACGAATGTTTCCTGGCAGAAAAGTAAGGTGAATAAATAAATGTTTTTTATTGAAATGTTTTGGAGTCGCTATCGAACATTTTGGGTTAGGTAGGTCGAATACCTAAAAATCATCTTTTAAAAGAGTTTTTAAGAAAAACTATTTAAAAGATAAACCAGTCTGCGTATAACCAATGATTCATTCTTTTTAGTAATAAAAAGGGATTTGTGGTCGGTTACGTTTGGGGAAGGATTAGCACCCCCACAACGCCCAAAATTGATACCTATTGCTTATAAATTGTCTCTATTAGTAGAAATTTATGAAATCGGATATAAATTTAATTTATGATTCTATTATTTCAGATTCAATCGAATAATTTTATTTAATAGAAAATTCTAAGAATTCAATATTAAAATAATTTGATATAACCAAAACTAAAATAAATATATTTTTTAGGTTTTTATAAACAAGATATTTATTTATTTTAAAATACTAGAATAGGACATCTAGTTACTTTAAGACAACCCTTTCTTAATATTTAAAAATAAATAAATATTATTATTTAATTAAATATATATGTTCATATGACTAAAATGAAATAAAAATAAAATAATAATTAAATATTATATTTAAATATTGAAATAGATATTTGCAAACACTATCTAAGATTATATTTAATACATTACAATTATAGAACTTTAAATTAAAGTATTTCATTACAATTAGATCTAATATGAATATATGTTTCAAGATATTTTTTTAGTACAATAATAGTAATAAAATATTAGTCTTAATTTTCAACTTCAACTTTAAAAGAAAAAACAAAAAGAGTTGCTTATTTTGACTAAGGGTTTTGTTTCATGTGCACAGATCATGAAATAATAAATTTAGTACGTATTAGTCTTAGTTTTCAGCTTCAACTAAAGAAGAAAACAAAAGAAGTTGATTATTTTGACTAAGAGTTTTGTTTCATGTGCTTTCAATTTTAATTTTAAACAAAGCATGGAAACTCTATCTTTATGAATCTAAAACCTTTTTAAGAATCAAAATTTTTCGTTGCATGTGCAAAAAGGAGACTGAGTTTAATTAAAACCTAAAGGTTAAAAAATAAAATAAAATTGCAATTAATATTGACCAAAATAAAATTATAGAATTAAATTAAAAAGTACTAAAATTATGGTCAAAAATGAAATTTATTTAAATTATCAAGGATTAAATCTACTATTTTACCTAAAATATATGCATAAATAACCTAAAAAAATAAAAATAAAATAATTATAAACATGCTTTTAAGGATTAAATTGTAAAATATCAAAGTTAATAAAATAACTCGAAATATTATATAATATAGGTATTATTAATGTAATTTAACTATAATTAATTAATCGGATTAAAATATGAAATATTATAATTTAAAATACTAAATATGTTATTTACCCCAAAATATATAAATATGAGGAAGTGACTAAATTATAAATAAAATAAAATTCGAAGACCGAATTAAAATAAATAGAAACGTGTTTTTAGGGATGAAAATGGAATTTTAATAAACTACGAGGGGCTGCGGACGTGATTTTCCCAAGCAAAAAATTACACATACACCCTCCCAAAACGACACCGTATGGGGAGGGTATTTAAACCCTTTAACCGACCCTAAAGGGCCATCATTTTCCCATTTTTCAATTTCATCTCTCTCTAAAAGAGATGAAAATTCTCTCTGCCCTCTCTCTAAAAACCTCCCATCAGAGGTGATGTCGGCCATCAGTCAGTCGACGACAACCGCCGTCAACAGCCACCACCGGAAACATAAAAAGACCCCCAAAATATAGATCTCCTAACCTTCTACTCGAATCCACCCTTGTTTCTTCTTAAAACCCCATCAATAGCAGTAAATCTTAAAGTTTACCTTCGAAAACCCAATGCTCTGACAACGACGATACGGTTTCCTAGGTAATTTTTTCCTCTCTTTTTCTTTTCGTTTATCTACTTCTATGTTCGTAGCTGGTTGTTCGTTTGTTGGTTGCCTTCTTTCGGTATCTTGCTGTGTCCGTCGATGTCTTGTTGTTGTGTCGTTTTTGCTCTCTGTTCGTGTCTTTCTTCTTTGCAGGGGATGGCCTTTTTATAGGCCTAATCGATGTTGCTCTCAAACCGGTCACAAAGGTGGCCATCGGTGAGTCACTGAAGCTATGGTGGCGACTCACCATAGGGCAACGACGTATGAGGCTGGCCTAGCATCTTCTAGAGGCTTCAGTGTCGTGGCAGCAGCTGGATGGAGGGACATGGCGGCGGAGCAGTTGGAGTCGACGGAGTGGTTGAAGGCGACGGCAAAATCACCTTATGGTTAGTAAACCCTAGGGTTTCTGCTGGGTTTAATTTGGGTCGTTGGATCTCTTCAGATCCAACGGTTGATATTTGTTGACGGCTGGAGGCTGAGATGAAACCCTAAGAGGGTTCTGTTGGATCGAATGGGCCTAGATCGAGTTGGCCTTTTCGGATCTGGGCCTGGACTTGGATCGGATCTGATGTATTTGGGTTGAGTTTGTAAACAGGCCTCCAGGTCTTGTAACTGGGCCCGTAATAAATTTGTAATTATTATTTAATAATAATAATAAAATAATATTAATAATATTAATAATAATAAGAAGGATAATGGGGCAAAAACTTAGTGTCTACAAACCTGATAGAATGATGCCTAGGTGAGACCATGCATATGTATGTTTTTTTCCTTCATATATAATGTCATCGCTGTCATCATCGTCATTTATATATATTTGGATATGTATCATGCCATCATCATCGTCCTTTATGCTTGTTTTGCTGTATCATTCAATGATCATCTTTAATCATTTATACGTTGTGAGATCAAATTGTATTAGCTTCAAATTTTATAGTTATTTGGCCTAAATCACATTTTCTTTTCATTTTGAATGGAGAAAAATGTGATTTTATAATGTATTGAGTTATAATTGATAACTTTTAGACAATATGGAATTCATTAATGGATAATAAAGCTCGTATTGTATTTGCATGCAGTGAGACCAATGAAGGTGCCAACCATGACGCTTTCAGCACATTCTTTAGTGTTACCAGATCTGGAAAGTACGTACCGAGAGCTTTGTTCGTCGACCTAGAGCCGACCTTCATCGACGAAGTTCGAAGCGGGGCTTATCGACAACTGTTACATCCTGAGCAACTTATTTCCGGTAAGGAAGATGCTGCTAATAACTTTGCAAGAGGACATTATACAGGTACAACATTAAACTCGATTGATTTCGAGTTTAAATCATTTCAGGTTCAGGTCAATTCGAATTCTGTTTTGAGTCCAAGTCATTGATTTGTTACCGTATCCTTCAGCCGGTCGGGACATTGTGGAAGTATGCCTTGATCGATTGATAAAATTTGCTGCCATAGGGACTGTACTTATATTGTCACACCATATTTTGAAAATATCAGTAAGGTTGCACTCCCATATCAGCTGAAACCGTTGCGATTCATATTCCTATACTCTGCTTCGGCTGTAGAGCTGTATAGACTTTAAGCTCGAATACACCCGCCTTACTTCGAGTGACCATTGTTACCCGTACGACTCTCGTCAGTGTACTTGCATCCGGGACAACACAATCAGGCACATTATCCTCAACTGCATCAACCACACATGTACGAGATGCATTTACAGGTTCATCAGCAGCAGCTGGCAGCTACTGAAGCTGGCAAAGACCCTGAAGAATTACTGTGCATATTGCTGCTGGTGCACAAGAATATCCCATAAAGACACAAATATTATAATGTTTTTGTCTCGTGAATTTCATCGTGTTTTAAATAACGAACATTACACTAATATTTGGTTCGGCATTGCCACTTATCATAGGTATAGAACATTAATTTTGTATATTTGGGAATTATTACAATCTGCAATGTTTCTATGATCAAAATCTTATTGTCCCTACCCTTTTGTTCTTTGCTTAAGCTTACTGTAAGGAATGGTTAAAAGAAAAGGACTTGGATTGCTTCAATTTCTTTTATATTCTTTTGCCCTTTTTTCCCTTTTCTTTTTCAAAATCACTTGCCTGTGTTAAGAATCTAAAACTTTTTCATTGTATTTAAGTAGGGTTATGAGAACAATATATGTTCGAATTATTTATTTTATAACTTTTTAATATATCTCAAGGAACACATGTCGCAATCTTAATCTGTTTATAGTTTAAATTTGGTTAAAATATATTCTAAATTCATGTATTTTTCGTGGATTTGAAATTTAATCATCATACTTTTACTTTTGAAAATTTAGTTATCTATCATGTCAGTTTTGCAAATTCAAATATAATTTTTAACATCATCAACTTCTGTTAAATTCATTAACGTGACATTGTGAAATAAGAAAATATTAACTTAGTAGTTGAATAACAAGAAAAAGACGTAGTGATGAACATATAAGATACTATATGTTCAATGATTTTCAATCATTTGATAAGAAACGCTCATATCCCTACATACGTGGTACTCGAACCTGAGCGCTCAACTATACGATAATAAACATTCATATCTCTGCATACCCGGTACTCGAAACTGGGAGCTCAAGATATAACAAAAAGTCCATTCATCATTGAGGTCGTTTGGTTAGTGTAATGCGACAAACTTTTAAATGTACAAAGAATATAGAAACTTGGAGTATATTTTAACCTTTAAATTTGTTGTCTCCCCCTTTCGTTCTTTGTTTGAACAAGCTGCAAGGAATGGATAAAGAGAAAAAGGTTGGATTCTGTAAATTTAAATCTATAATTGTTATACCTTTCTTTATAACTAGTAGCCAAAGCAATTGGTTTTAGAATCCAATTTTCCTTGCGAAGCACTTCAAAGAAATGTTATATAGTATGGGAAATCAGTGTTGCAAATGTACAAAAACTAAATATTTCAAAGAATTTTCTCAGCAAAGAAAAAAAGTTAGCCATGGCTTGGTCAGCTGTGTCCTCTGCAGCGAATACAATTGGCAATTTACTTGCTCAAGAAGCAACCTACCTATGGGGCGTGGAGGAGCAAGTTGATCGTCTACAAACGGAGCTCAAATGGATGCAAAGCTCCTTAATCGAGGCCGATGCTAAACAGTCCAATGACAGGAGGATACGGTTATGGGTTGCCGAAATCAGAGAGCTTGCCTATGATGCCGAGGATGTCATTGAGGACTTCGCTCTCAGGATCGGGTCCAGGAGGAGAGGCGGTCTTTCAAATTGTATCAAAAGATCCGCCTGCATCTTGAAAGAGGGAAGGATGCTTCACAAAACGAGATCAGAGATAGGGAAGATCTTTACAAGAATCACTGAATTGGTCCGACGATTGCAGGCATATGGCATAAAGGAATTAAGGGACGAAGAAGGGCCGAGTGCTTCAGCTGAAAGACGGGAATCGAGGCGGCCTTACCCTCACATTATTGACGATAATGTCGTCGGATTAGAAACCGATGTCAAGGAACTGATCTCGGTTATCGTCGACAACGAAAGTGCATCCAGGGTTGTTTCGATCTGTGGAATGGGTGGTCTGGGGAAGACCACTCTTGCCAAAAAGATATACCATGATGGCCAAGTTAAAGACCATTTTGATCATTTGGTTTGGGTTTTTGTTTCTGAGCAGTGCCAGAAAAGAAAAGTTTGGCTAGACATTTTGTCTGGTCTGAACATTTCCTTTCAAGTTGACTGGAAAACCAGAGAAGAAGAGATATCAGAGAAGTTGTTTAAGTTCCTGAAGGAGAAGAAATGTTTAATGGTACTTGATGACATTTGGAGCAATGAAGCATGGGATAGCATAAAGCCTGCGTTTCCAGAAAAGGAGACAAGAAGCAAGATACTGATCACGTCTCGGAATAGAGAGGTAGTTTCACATGCAGATAGCAGAGGTTACTTGCATGACTTGCAGTGCCTAAACAAGGAGCAAAGCTGGGAATTGTTTCAAAAGATTGCATTTGCTCAACCTTCTATCGGTAACTTGTTTATTCAACTTATTTTCTTTTAACTATTCTACACTACTTTAATAGCACATGAACCTCTGACATATTAGATAAAAGTTTTATTTTTTAATTAAATTATTTAGGAGAGTAGTTTAAAAGTATTGACTATTTGCTATTTAGGGAATACTATTTATAGATAAATTTTATGACGTTCAATGAGCATAACTTAGCACCATTAATCTAATTTATAAAAAATTAAAATTTTAAATGACTCAACTTATAATTATAAATTAGTTAAAATTTAAAGGTAAAATATTTAAAATAAAATATTAATTAAATTATTTTCTATAATCTTTTTTTGGGTAAATTATATCAATGACCACCTAATTATTGTCCATTTTCATTTTGACCACCATTTTTGAAATTTTTTCAATCATGCCATCAAACTATATAAATGCATCCAATCAAGCCACTTGTCGTTAACATTTAACGGAAGTGTTGACGTTGTAGTTAACAAAATTGGTATAATTACATATTTGATCATCAATATTTATAAATTCTATCAATTTGGTCATTATTTTAATTCAATCTAATAAATTTAATCTCCAATTAGGTAGTGACACGTGCCACTACCAGATTGGAGGATATTTCATTAATTGTAATTATTTAATTAAAATTCAATTTGATCATAAGTTTCGACAAAATGGAGGGCGGATTCGGACTCAAAGTGTCGAGACGAACAAGACCCATGAAATTTGGGACCGAACAACCACCATCTACGGCGATCGACAGTGGCGTCCGACCACCTTCTATTTTTATTTTATATTAAATAGAAATAAAAAATGTCACATCATAAAAAATAATAAAATAATTCAGAGATATCAAAACATGAGCAATTCGAAAGTTCGGTGAGCAAATTAGAAAAATTGAAAGTTCATTGAGTAAAATATGAGAGAGAGTATAGTTCTGGTGTAATTTACCCTTATAATAAAAAAGATATTATCAAATAACAGAAAAGATTAATTTATACAAGTGCAAATAATTGATTAGTATTTTTTTTTTAAAATTCAGGCAGTAAAGATGAAGGGAAAATGAAAGATCTAGGCGAAAAAATGGTTGAACGTTGTGCAGGGTTGCCATTAGCCATTGTTGTGCTGGGAGGAATTTTGGTGACAAAAGATTCAGTAAATGAATGGGAAAAGGTGGCTGAAAATGTGATACCCTACTTGAAGAGAGGCAAAGGCCATGGAGTGGAAGAAGTGCTGGCATTAAGCTATGATGATTTGCCATACTACTTAAGGCCATGCTTTTTGTACTTGAGCAATTTCCCGGAAGATTTTGAGATACAAGTCTATAGACTGATTCAACTATGGGTTGCTGAAGGTATCGTTTTATCAGAGGAAGAAGATGGAAATGAAGGGAGCATAACAGAAGATTTGGCAGACCGTTACTTACTGGAGCTTGTAGAAAGGTGCATGGTCCAAGTAGGAGAAAGAGACGTCGCAACCTTAAAGATCAAAACAGTTCAATTGCACGATCTCATGAGAAATCTTTGCTTGTCAAAAGCAAAACAAGAAAATTTTCTCTGTGCTGTTGATCAGTCAAATGCATGTTCCATTTCCACAGTACAAAGGATCCATAGAGTTTCTGCAACCGATGTTTTGTGGATACAGCGCATTAAAAGTCCAAATCTTCGGTCACTTGTGTTCTTCAGTGAGTATTCATCGGGTTACGAGTTTTTGAAACAGATGAAGGTATTTAGAAAACCGAAGCCCCGGAAAATGCTTGATTACTTGGACAAACATCATGGTCGAGCTGAAACTGGATGCCTCTTTCATTCAATTTTAATATTCTTGTTTCTCTTTTTGATGCTTCCTGGACTAAATGAACTTTTCACATACATGTTCAACAATTTCAAATTGCTGAGAGTCTTTACCTATGAAGGAAAAGCTTCTTCTACCCTGGGAGGATGCAAGTTATCAAGTGATATAGGTAATCTCGTCCATTTAAGATTTTTGAGTCTAAGGGGTGTTCGCTACTTATGTTTACCGTCATCTCTGGGCAACTTGAGGTGCTTGCAAACCTTGGATTTAAGAATTTATGAAGTAATTCTTGTACCTAACGTGATATGGAGGATGGAGCAACTAAGACATCTATATCTCCCTGAGAAATTTAAAGTTAAAAGAAAGTTGAAGTTGGGTACTTTGAGAATCCTCCGAACACTAGTGAACTTCAACACCAAAGATTGTTGCCTAAAGGATCTCAGCAACATGACAAATCTTAGAGAGTTGGAGATTCGTGGGGCGTTCGAGATCGAAGATTTTAATGTGGATGACCTGCACAAGAATGCACCCATCATCCAGAGTAAATATCTTCATTCCTTGTCCATTTTCAATGATGAAGGAAGGATAGATCCAAGACATTTGAATCACCTCCTTTCCAGCTGTGTTTGTATCTGCAAGTTGAGTTTAGATGTGGAGGTAAGTGAGTTACCACAGTACGACCACTTGTCTCCGAATCTGGCTTACATAAAGTTAAGAATGTGCAAGATTGGGGAAGATCCAATGCCAACACTAGAGAAGCTGCCAAGCTTAAGGGTTCTTGAATTGCATTACCAAGCATTCACTGGAAAGAAGATGTTTTGCTCTGCACAAGGTTTTCCTAAACTCGAGTCCCTAAGCCTTAAAGAACTCTGTTATTTGTGGAAGTGGAAGGTCGAGGAAGGAGCCATGCGGTGTCTGCGACAATTGCAGATTGAAAGGTGCAAAGGGCTGAAGATGCTTCCGGATGAACTGATGTTCATTAAAACCCTCCAACAACTGAAGATTGAAGGTATGCCAAAGGAATTCAAAGAAAGAGTGGAGAAAAGAGCAGATGACCTCGGCAAAGTCCAACATGTTCTTTCTGTAACATTCAAGAGCTGTGACCACTAGAATTATGATTATTGGCATGTGATTTCACAATCTTTATTACATATTAATATATATATTAATAATCAAATGAAGTTCCATTGCTATCTTCAATATGAAATGACATTGTTTTTTTCTAGTACAGGGAAAGAATGCAATTATATTGTGGATTGGAGATGTAAAACCGTGTTGTTATTTGTGTAAGCTGGTGTTATACAGTATGATAATTGTAGTATGATGCATATGATTTTAGTAAGTAATTGGTTTGATGCTTGTCACGTGATTGTGGAATATCTCAATCTAGGCTTATGCTACTTGAGCATTTTGCTCGGCAAGCTAATGCATGATACATTGTTCAAAGAGTAGAGTTTGAACCCACTTTCCATAAGTACAGAGAGTTGAGGTAAGAGTTGTTTAAAATACAATGATCGGACTAGATAAACATAAATAAAAAGAAATAGATAAAAATATATATGAAAAGAGCAAGTAGAACAATGGACACACACCCTACGGATGGCTCCAAATGGCGAAACCTTAACCAACTCTTCATTGTTTGTGGTTGTTTAACGATGAATCAATACTCGTTTTCAAGAAACCGGGAATCGAGGTGAATCGAGTTCTTCAGCCGAAATAGTGAATCGAGGTGGCCTTATCCTCACATTATCGACGATAACATCGTTGGATTAGACATCGATGTCAAGAAACTGGTCTCGGATATCGTGGACGACGAAAGTGCATCCGGGGTTGTTTCCATATGTGGAATGGGTGGTCTGGGGAAGACCACTCTTGCCAAAAAGATATACCATCATAGCCAAGTTCAAGGCCATTTTGATAATTTGTTTTGGGTTTTTGTTTCTGAGCAGAGCCAGAAAAGAAGAGTTTGGCAAGACATTTTGTTTAGTCTGAACATTCCCTTTGAAGTTGACTGGAAAACCAGAGAGGAAGAGATATCAGAGAAGTTGTTTAAGCTCCTGAAGGAGAAGAAATGTTTAATGATTCTTGATGCTATTTGGAGCAAAGAAGCTTGGGATAGCATAAAGCCTGCATCTGCTCAACTTATTTTCATGCTTTGTTCTTTTGTCTTTTTAACTATTCTAGGCTACTTGTGAAGCATATTAGGACGACGACAGGTGAGAATTCAGATAATATTCAAATTCAAACATTTTTTTTTTAATTTTAATGAATTTGGAATAGCTATAGATACTAACTCTCTCATGTTTGTTATCGAAGGACGAGTCTAGAGTTAATACTATACACGGATAGGCACTACCAATGACATAACTGATGTGCATTACTATTAAATTCACTTTATGATCTAAATTCACTTTAAATATTTTTATCTATTTTTGTGGTTTGTTTACTAATACGGCCAGATCTGTTTGTATCTATATTTTGTTCGAGTTTAATTGGTTAGATTTTTTTAATCTTTTCCTTATATGGTCATTGTGTGGTCTTAAGCTGTTATTTTTTTGTGTTTAATAAAATGTCCTTATTATATGTTTATGTTGAGTTAATCGATTGACTGAATCGAGCAAGAGGGGGGTGAATTGGCAATAAAAATTTTGGTGGAAGCTTTTGCAGAAAATTGAAAGAAATTGCACAGCGATTTAGAGTGGTTCGACTTTATCAACCAAAGTCTACGTCCACTACCTTAGCTATCCACACTAAGGATTTTCCAACAAATTCACTAATTTGTTCTTTCTTTTGAGGCCAAAGAGATAACCTTACAACTCCCTCAAGAATATACCCCAATTCTTGAGAACACTCTTTTCTCAAAGAGAAATACAAATTTGCAAACTTACAAGAAAAACCTCACAAGGCAAATATGTTTGCACAATTCTAGAACAAAGAAAGAACACTCAAGAATAAATACAATTGAGCACAATAAGTGTTCTTGAAAGCAAAATGAATATTGAATGAAAAAATAGGCTTGAAATGCTCAAACTTGAGGTTTGATGCTTTCTCTTTGATTCTAATTGCTTGATGTTTCTTGTTGTTGATCAATGGCTTCTAAGCTTGCTTAAATACACCTTGAATCACTTCTGAACGTTGGGGATGATTAGAGAAAATAATATAGCCGTTTTAGAGTGAAAACAATTAATAAAACAGTTTGGAGCGTGGGGGGAATCGATACCCCCTATGGGGAATCGGTTCCCTAAGTGTAAAATTCAAATATTTCGACCGTTATACAAGGGGGAATCGGTTCCCTCCGAGTATACTGGAATTCTCGGAGCCAAACCATTCAGGGGGAATCGGTACCCCCTTAGGGGGAATCGGTTCCCTCTGAGCAATCTGGAATTTTTGGCTTTGAAATGATTCGAAATACTTTGTAAAATTATTTTGAAATTGTTTTAAGTTTAAAACTTAATTTTACACTTTGAGTAAGGATTAAAAATGATCTTTGAAAGATTTGGAGTAATGTTTTGATATTCGAATACTTCTATCGAATATACTTAGAAAATCATTTGGAAAATCTTAAAATTCATTTAACTTAATTTGTTATATCGAAATATCAAAATGTTTTCAACAATCTCCCCCTTTTTGATATAACAAAACATTTTAGTAATTTTAAGATTTTGAAATCAAGTTTTGAAATTACTCCCCCTTACTTTAACACTTCTCCCATTTAGCATTTAGAAAACGCATTTAACACCATTTAACACTTCTCCCCCTTTTTGTTAAATCAAAATGACATTTTAAAGAATTTAAACAAGTTTTTGAAGCCATTTAGCCAATTGATTATATATAACATAAGCTTCTAAGATCACAAGCAAGAGAAACGTTAGCCATTAGTTTCATAATCAATATTCATAATTAATGTGAAATGGCAAAATTGGTCATATATCTAATCATGAAGTAAATGATGCAATAATGAATAAATTTAATCACACCAAATAGATAATTTCTAACCATTCATAAATCCAAACAAATTCAAAGTCAATCAATCCACAAATTCAAACATTCCAAAATATTCAAAATGTTAAAACAATAAGTTTGGAGTTCAAAGCAAAACATAGAATCACATATCCGGATCAGGAGGAGGAAAACGAGCTCGCATAGCGGCCATTTCGTTAGTGAGGTCATTAATACGTGCGTTGGTTGCTTCATTATTTGCACGCATTTCCCGAAGAATTTCTAATTGTTGAGCTCCCATTGTAGATAAATGGGACTCTATAGAAGTAAAGCGCGAATCCATAGTAGCGTATCGAAAATCGAATGTCTCCATAAAGGATTGGAAATATGGAGGCATTGGATGCGTTTGTTGTGCTTGCTTTTCGGGTTGCTCAGGCTCATCTTCGGCTTCATTGATGTCTCGCATTAATTGCTCAAGCTCGAGATCTTCGTCAGCTTCGGGTGGATCTTGTGAAGAACTAGCTCCCGGAGTATTTGCAGAAGATCGAACCCATTCACTGGTTTTCTTATCCTTAATCCATCCCGCTCTCGTTAAGGAAAGAAGGTTAATTTGTTTCTTAAGGGGAAAAACGGCATCTAGATCGACTCTAAGCCCAGCTTTGGAAAACATATTACTCAAAATGCAACCGTAAACAAGAGATGAACAGAGTTTTTTGTTAGGAACAAGATTTAAGGTTTCAACAATTTCAGCAAAAATAATCTGAGGTAGGTTGATTTTAATATTGTTTTCGAAACAATATAACCACCAAAGATCTAAGGCTCTAAGAGTAGAATAACGACCCCCGGATGGTCGAAACCACCAAGAAATCATTAGATGAAGAAAACGTTCATGAAGGTCTAGGACACTTGCACTATCCCTTCTTTTATAACGAGATCCTAAAACCTATTTTTCATTTGAAATACCATCATTATATAATCCGAATGTATTGGCTATGTAAGCCGAGTCAATATATAAGAATTTTCCTGGAAGGTAGGAACGAATTCCTATGGTTTCGGTTTCAGTTTGGTTTTTAACACAAACGGCATTAGAATAGAAAATACGAACAAGTTGATGGTAAACGATGGGTTCAAGGTCAAAGAGTTTATCAAATTTCCACTCTTGTAAAAGAGGAAGATATTTAAAATTGATAGCTAACATAGCTTGACGAGAAGGAATACGTTCTTCCCGGATTTTGTAAGAGTCAAAATATTGATAATACCAAAAACGATGATTTCTAGGACCAGGATGATTGAAACACGAATTTTGGATAGTCAAGTTAGGATCAATGGGATTAGGATTAGAAATTGGAATATAATGAGGATTTGGAGGTGGATTTGGTTGATGGTGTGAACGACTAGATGAAGACCTAGCACGTTTAGGATTGGACATGGTTTAGGAAATCGGAATAGAATTGATAACCTGCAATTTAGAAAACATATGTATGCAATTCAATCAATCCCAAAACTCAATTGAGTCCTCAATATTTCAAGGTTCTCTAAATCAATCCTAATGGGCAAAGTTTTTGAAAAACTTTTGAAAAATATGGTTTTGAGAAACAATATATGTATAGTTTTCATAATAACAACATAATTTAATCAAAACACAATAATTTGAAAATTAATTTTTTTTTATTTCGAAAATTTTGAAAATTTTGAAAAAAAATCTTGTGTTTTTGATGAAATTAGTTGTAATATCTAGTTTCTAATCACTAAATAATCAATCCCGGTCAAAAATTCAACCTAGAACTAATTAAAACTAGTTCTATGTTCATAAATTGATAAAAAGAAGTTTTGGAAAAATACCTTGAATGATTTCGGATTTGAGTGAGATTAGATGAAGTTTGCACGTTTTTTATGATTCCAACAGGTTTAGAGGATGATATTTGAAGTGAATTCCGATTAAAAACGTTGATTTGAGGCAAGAATGGAGATTTGAGAGAGTAGAGGGAAGAAACGGCGTGAAGGAATAAGAGAGGGTTTGAGCAAATATTGGGTTCTGCCCGTGTTAAAGCCAGAACCCTAGGGGGGTATCGATTCCCCTGTGGGGGGAATCGGTTCCCTCAAGGGGGGATCGATTCCCTCTGCACCAAAATGCTAAAATATGATTTTAAACATCCAAAATGCTAAATTAATTTCCTTTAGTGGTATTGGCAACTCATATATTGAAAATTAATCATGTTCAAACAATTCAATTAATCTTTAAACGATATTTGAACATAAAATTAATTTTTCATCAAGAATCATAAACTCCCCCTAACTAATAGCAATGAATGCAATCAAAAAATTACTATTATAAGCATTTTTCATTTATTATTAAAAGTGCTAAAATTATTTTAAACACTCAGTGAAGATAGATTGGTCAAACCTAATTCTCTCCTAAGTGTCCAAAATCGTTCCTTGTCTAAAGGTTTTGTAAAGATATCCGCTAATTGGTGTAAAGTATCAACAAATTCTAGAACTACATCTTCCTTAGTGACATGGTCTCTAATGAAGTGATGTCTTATTTCAATGTGCTTAGTTCTAGAGTATTGGATGGGATTTTTAGTGAGACAAATAGCACTAGTATTGTCACAGTTGATAGGAATGGTACCTACTTCAATTCCATAATCAAAAAGTTGTTGTTTCATCCATAAAACTTGTGCACAACAACTACCAGCTGAAATGTATTCGGCTTCAGTGGTAGATAATGCAACACAATTTTGTTTCTTTGAAAACCAAGAAATTAGCATATTTCCAAGGAATTGGCAAGTACCGAAGGTGCTTTTCCTATCTAATTTGCATCCTCCATAATCTGCATCAGAAAAAGCATGCAAGCTAAAGCTAGAGTCTCGAGGATACCAAAGTCCTAAACTATGAGTGTCTTTAAGGTATCTAAAGATTCTCTTAACAGCTAGTAAATGTGATTCCTTAGGACATGATTGAAATCTAGCACATAAGCAAACACTAAACATAATATCCGGTCTACTTGCAGTTAGATAAAGTAGAGATCCAATCATTGACCTATATAATTTAACATCTACACATGATTCGAAATACTTTGTAAAATTATTTTGAAATTGTTTTAAGTTTAAAACTTAATTTTACACTTTGAGTAAGGATTAAAAATGATCTTTGAAAGATTTGGAGTAATGTTTTGATATTCGAATACTTCTATCGAATATACTTAGAAAATCATTTGGAAAATCTTAAAATTCATTTAACTTAATTTGTTATATTG